ATATATATATATATATTTATATATATATATATATATATATATATTTGTATTATAAATGCTTAATCTATGAATGTTTTTACCTTATCACCTGGAAGTTTATGCAACTGTATGCATGTACGTATGATCATTTTATTTAACTGATTTCGCAATATCAAGGAAGTTTTACTTGTACACAAACCAATTTTGAAGAGATTAATAAGCGATTCTGCGGACAAGACCAGGCATATGACAGGTAAAATTTGCAAATATTTTTTACTTACTGTAATGTGTATGGAGGCATGGTTGATGCCTTAACATTTGTAAGAAGTGGAAAGGTTGTTGCCAAGACTACGAAGGATTACAGAACCTGATTTTCATGTAGAAAAACACCAATTATTGTTTGCTTAAGAACAATTGAATCAGAATCTCCCTTGGACCCGGGTTACTACTTACTAGTAACAAAGGCTGGGACTATGAGATTTTGGACTATTTTCCTAATAGGAGTTATAGCATCTTGTCGGCCTGGGATTAGCGTAGTAGTCCCACGTGCATGCATCGGTTAATTCTGTAAACTATAGCAGGACATAAACTAATAAGCTAATGCATGATATGAATGATCCATTTATACAAAAGTCAGAACAATTGGAGAATTAATGGGGAACAAGGATCTGTATCATGCGGTAAAACCCATGATGGATCAAATTTTTGGAGTCATCCCCATAGATGGCGAAGCGACATACTTCTTCTCTTCTTTAATATTAGTAAAAAATAAATAAATTTTATGTATATTAAAGAAATTAGTTATTTATATTAATTTGATTAATTCTATAACTTTCTTTCTTAATTGTCCTTATTATAATTGAAATATTATGTATTAATTAAGAAATATTTTAAAGAGATTATCATTAAATAAAATAAAAATATTTGAAATTTATTTATATTTAAGATTTTTTTTTTATATACTTATAATAGAAAACAAATGGAGCTATACTATGTCGGAAATTATGAAGGCATACTATGTTTTCCTGAATTGGTAGTTGTTACTTGTTACTGTTATATGATGTTTACCAAAATAAAAATAAACCAATAATAGCTTTCTCTTGTCACAATGTATACGGAGTCAACTGGCGTTATGGAACCTCTCCAACTAATCGATTCAGCTACAGGTCCAGAACGGGGGAGGAATGCAAAACTTACTGCCACTCCTTAGATTCTTAACGTTTGGTAGTGGTATTTTCCCATTTTTTTTATATAAAAATTACATACTGTCATAGGAGTTATCTAACAAATCAAAATGTTAACAGTTAAATTTCTACAAATTTAGGTTTGCTTTTCTAGTTTCAATGCCAGGAAAAAAAAAAGTAAAGCTTTTTTGCACAAATAAGCTGATCTTGGTGGGTAGGAGGAAATGGATGAATAAAGATTGGATTGGACAAAAGAGAAATTTAGCAATTTAACACACTCTTTTAAATGTAATTTTTATTATTAACTACTAAAATTGTTAATTTTATATTTTATTTAATTTAATGAATTTTTTTTTTTGGTAAAGAATCAAACTAAAAACAGCAGACAACTCAAGACACAGAGTCTCTCCCTAACGGTAACAAGATAAAGTCAGGAAGACTCCTCCAAAATACATTGGAACCTATGTTCCATACACCCCAATTAGCAAGCGTATGAGCTACTGAATTTATCTCTCGAGGGATATGACTTACGTAAACTACCCAGTCTCTAGCTAGCATGCGCTTAATACGACGAATAACATCATAGTGCTTATGCAGATAATCCCTATCCGTTGACCGATCTTGAAACAGCGTAACAACTTCTAGGCAATCACATTCGCAACTCACCTTCCAAAACCCACCTTCCCAACAAAACGATAAGCCATCCTCCAATGCCAACAACTCGGCACGTAACGCATCACCATGTAAAGCTCCACGCGAGAAGCCACCCCGCCACATACCTGCCTAATCTCGAATTGCTCCACCCATCCCCATAGCAGAAGTTCCACTCAACCAACTCCCGTCCGTGTTTAGTTTGACCCACGGATGCTCCGGAGGCCTCCATAGGGCTTGCTCCGCCCATAAGAGCCTCTTAGCGTTATACACACTGTTCTCCACCGTAGACAGTATCACCTTCCGACGGACCGTCGAAATCGTCCAAAGCTCGCCGTTAAACAGCATGTTATTCCTAAACCGCCAAACCCACCACAAGGTGATGGATAACTTAATAGCAACCGTGTGCAAAATAATCCCCTTCAGCCACTGAAAACAATCCATTATAGAGAAAGACCACCCCACACTGATCCCGCCAGACATCAGCACCTCTCGCGAATACGGGCAATCACAAAGTGCATGTAAAATAGTTTCGTGAGGGCAAGAGCAACGTGAACATGCACCAGACTCGGCCAACCTCATATCAGCCCTAACCTGATTCGTTGGAAGAGCTGAATGAAGGCATTGCCACAGAAAGAACTTAACCTTCTCAGGGATCATTAACTTCCAGATCTTCTTCCAAACTTCATCCCCCTCTATTGACAATACCGTGGTCAGAAAACGATACCCAGATGCCGCTGTATAACAACCCGAGCTATCACCCCTCCATGCAAAGTGATCCAGCCCCAAAGAGGAATTGACGACACTCAACCGTTGGACCGAATGTATCAGCTCCGCCGGGAGAATAATATACAAGGTAGTGAAGTTCCAATCTCCACTAACCCAGCAGTCTGCGACCGTTTTGTTGGTGTCCTCAATGTGAACGAATGGAACTTTCCTGCACCAAAGCCCAGTACCTGACCAGTCCGTGTACCAAAGGGATGAGGCACCCGACCCTAGCTGAGGCTCGAAACCCTCACGAAGAGAAGGAAGGGCCTTAATAAGACTTGACCAGGTTGGAGAAGCCCCCCGCCTGTTTTGAGCACACAGGATAGAGTCTCCATGTAGGTATAGATTGCTGATGATTTAAACCCAAGGCTTCTGTGGAGCCGTAAGCAGATCCCAAACTAACTTTCCAAGGAGTGATACATTCACCCTTCGCGCCTCCCTAACCCCAAGGCCACCGAACTCCTTGGGTTGAGTAACAACATCCCAACTCACTGGGGACCAAAACCGTGTGTTGTCAGATTTCCCCCAGAGCATACGACGACAAGCCTGATAAATTCTATTACACACTGCTGGGGAAAGCCACAAAGTTTGCATGCTATAAACTGGAATAGAGGAGATGGTAGACTTCACCAGACACAACTTACCTGCCTTATTAAGAAGCTTGGACTTCCAAGCCCCAAGTCTACCCTGGATCTTATCCATCACATCATAAAAATCTGCACACCTCGGCTGACCATGAGTCATGGGAAACCCCAAATACTTCTCGATCCGAGCCGTGTGGCCAATCCCAAGCAATCCCTCCAACATATCGATCCTCCTCTGTGAAACCCTTCTAGAGCTCACTGGAAACACCCAATTTCGTCCGGGGGGCATACAAACGAAGAAATGGACGTCTATTATCAAGAAAAGGAGCTCCCAATCATGGAAATAACAGGACATGACATCAGAAGGCTAAAAGCTCAAAAAAGCTAGTTTTAGTAGCCCGGAACGGGCTGTTCCAAAACTGGAACGGGCTGTTCCAAAACTGGAACGGGCCGTTCCAATTTACAAAAAGAGCCTAAAACCCTAAACTGGAACGGGCCGTTCCAAAGTTGGAACGGGCCGTTCCAGGCTCTTTAAAAAAGGCTAAAACATACATTTGGAATGGGCCGTTCCCAAATTGGAACGGGCCGTTCCAAATAACAAAAAAGGCTTAAATTCTTAATTTGAAACGGGCCGTTCCAGAATGACATCTATGTGTTAAACACGCCTCTGGAACGGGCCGTTTCGATTTCAGAACGGCTCGTTCCAATACACTAAATTAACACGTAACGGCCAGATCCAGAACGGGCCGTTCCGATTTCGGAACGGGCCGTTCTGGACCCTG